TCAAGCACATCTCTCTTAATGTGGATATCAAGAAACTTGGAATTACATTTCTCATTGGCTGTAGTGATATCAACCTACATTTAAAGTAAAGTCTGCAACTGTATGGGTTTATAAGGATGTGTATTAGTAACCCCTTAATGGTCGATCAGATGAAAGTGGAATAGGGTGCAGAGGCGAAGTAGTGAGGGTGTGTTAAGTGTTTTTGGGCAGCTGCTGCTGTTGTCGCTGATTGCTGAGGCCCCTCAGTCTAGGGGATTACGGCGCACACACACACGACATGATTTCTATTCATGCCTCGGGTCAGTTATTTATCACAGTCTGCAAAAAATCCCCCTTCATGTACCCCACACACGCACGCACACACACACACACACACACACACACACACACACACACACACACACACACACACACGCACGCACACACACACACACACACACACACACACACACACACACACACACACACACACACACACACACACACACACACACACACACACACACACACACGAAACATTCAGACACTGTTTCCCAGTGGATCCATAAACTCGGACAGCTAATTGAAACGGGACAGAGATAGTTAATTAGAGTGGATGCCATAGTGGTATTGGGACATATGACTCAAATAAGCAGTGATCTCACTGTAGTTGGCATAAGGACAGTCAGAGAAACACTGGCATTTCTTCAGGGAATGATTAAGTATTCACAGAGCTTACATTTCACATTCCCACTTTTGTCATAGAGATATTTTAGTTTTGCTCTAAAAAACGAGGTGAAGGAACCAGATCTATTTTTGCTTCGTCTGGAGGATTTTTCACACAGATTTAGAACATTTACTCACTTTGCAATATAATGTGGAATATGTGTCTTGTCAATTCGCTCGTCTCCTGTTCTGGTTGGCAAATAATACCAATAAAGTTGGTTCAAAATAGAATCAGTGTGCTAGATTAACCACCTTTCCTACAGCGTTTGAAATCTAGGCTACGATAGGGAAGATTGATCCCACTCTCATGATTGTCTGTTAAATGTGATGGTACCACCCGCAACCAGTTAGCTTAGCTCTGTTTTGAGAAAACAAAATCCACCTAGTGGCACATTTAAGGCATCAGGTTTTACATATATCTTCCTTGATTCTTGTTGTCAACACTAGTTTGCGAGGCAACCGGCGAACAGTCTTTGAAGCTGCTGCTTCCCTCTAGCTTGAGAGGTATCAATATAGCATTTAGCCTTTAGCTGCCTATAAGAAAGTGTTAACGTCAAACAAAAATCCAACTTATCCTTTATAATGAAATAGCATAATGCGTTGTCATATGGTCTGTCTGTCTGTCTTTTCGTCTCCTTGGCAATGTGCCAGAGTTTATAGTGTCAGGCCTGCTAGCATTTCTTATCTTTCACCGCACATCTCAACCCCGCCTGCATTGCACTCTGATGATGTAGCGCTTTTAGATTTGTCTTTTAATAATTGATGTTTCAGATTTTTTTCATGTGTTTTCTCTCTCTCTCTCTCTCTCTCTCTCTCTCTCTCTCTCTCTCTCTCTCTCTCTCTCTCTCTCTCTCATTCTCTGTCTTTCTCTATCTCACTTTCCCCATTATCCTTGCTTTGCCTCTGCTGCCGGGGTTTTCTGATGTCACGGTGCGTCCCTGTCTCTGTTCATTAACATCCCCCCCCTCATCTGTCTCTGCCCTTTTTGCTCTCAGTTGTGGCTCATTTCCATTTGTTTCACTTCGGTCCAGGTTGCTAAATTCATTCAATCCAACTTGGTACATCAACACTTTAGCACTCTATTGTCCTATATCTCAATGTCCTAAAATAACTCCTTTTCCTGTTCGCCTCTCTCTTTGTACATCCTTCTGTTTCCATGGTGACAGGTCGTGGTTTGGGGTTGGGTTGGGTCGATGGCGTTGCTCCAATCCTTTTTTCTGAGTGACAGAAGCTACTCACCCGTGTCATCGCGTGGGAGTTCAAAGACGACTTCCTTATCTCTTATATTACCCAATGAGTTCAAACAGATCGACCCCGGCTTATTAATAACTACTCGCATAATCCACCTGTCTTTCTCCACTGAACTAACCCCCGTTTTAATGGCCTTGCGTCTAAATTGGCCACTGGTCTACGTCTGTCACATTTGTTTTGCTAATGTGAGATGAATGGAAAGTCTCTCTGGAGATTATGATAATGCATTCATGCTCACGAAGGGGAAGCATGTTGGAGGGAGGTGGGGGGCACCGTGTAATTTGTGTGTGTGTCCTGCTGGAGGTAAAAGTAATAAAAAATGATTCGAGACATTTTGGTTATTGATTGCTGGTCCTTGTGTTCAGCAAGACACGGCCATTTACTGGGTATTCCCTGGAGAGCTTGGAGGATGTGCCCGTGTATTCATGAAGCGCTGTGTGTGTATTGATGAATGGATTCAAGTCTGTTAGCTTTGAGATATATGTTCCTTTGGCTCAATTCTGTTTTGTCTACTACATTTTTCCGCAACCAACGGTGTTCTCTATAGGCTCTATTATGCTTTTTGGGGTTGTCCCTTTCCTGTATAGTGTGTTATATAGGTTTTTGTGCATGTAAATGACATCACTATGTAACCCTCCCGCTTCTGTTGGTTAGCGCTCCAAAACATTGTACGTGATAGGCTAAGGGGCGGGACATCTCTAAGCGGTTGACCAATCACAACTGAGCCGGCCAGCTAACCAATCAGAGAAGACTGGGCTCTGGTTTCAGACAGAAGGTGAAAAGAGGTGCTGCAGCACAGGCAGTATGAGAAAAATAAAGAGCTTTTTGAACATTAAAGCATGGAGACACCACATACAAATATGAACCTGAAAATGAGCCCAGGGTTTCCCACACATAGACTATACTTGGGCGGGCCGCCCAGGTATATTAACGGCCGCCCAAGTATATTTCGCGACCCATTTCGTTTTTTTTTGTTTTTTTTTATAAAATCTTTTTTTAATATTTTTTTTTTTTATTCGTCCGTGACCACGACGCCATCTGCGATCGACTAACTTGTAGACAATGATCCCTCGCTCCCTTGCTCTGATCTCGCCTCCTTCTGGCCTGTTAAGTGGCCTGCCTCACACAGGGTGACTGGCTGTCCACATGATGTGGCCTGCCGACATGGCCACTGTCATACAGATCATAAATCAAAGCCCTTGATTGGTCTCTGTGTGTCATTCAAGCTCGGGATAACCTCAGCTCAGGTGAGGTAAAGGACTCTCTGAGTGTTTAGATAGTTAACTTAGTCTAAGTTCTCAGTGGGTCTCATACGGTGAGGTCACCATTTATGTAAACACATATTTCCATTTGAGAGGGTAGTGATTGGTCTAATGGAGAGTGAGGTGGGCTGAAGATCGGAAGGCTGTGAGTTCAAATCCCGCCAGGAACACCACCACTAGTGTGCCCTTGAGTAAGGCACTTAGCCCTTAGTTACTCCAGGGAGAATGTCCCTGTAATCGGTCATTATAAGTCGCTTTGGATAAAAGCGTCAGCTAAATGAAATGTAATGTGATTAGTAAAATATGCATGAATAAATAAATAAAAAGTTAACTAGGTGAAAAAAGGTAAGATACACTTTTAAAACTTGTTGAGAGAAAACTAGTCTTTGCTGCTGCCTCAAAGAGGAGCAGGGGGAGAGGAGGGAGACAGGAGAGGCTGGTTCAGGAGCACAGACACACTCACAACTATAAATGAACCAAAACTAAATTAATAAACAAGTTTCAGTGTTTTTTTCATATTGGAAATGGTATGTTATTGGTTATGGCCTTGATTTTATGATTATTGAAATGTATACAGTTCTGTTAAATATAGGTGTTTCCATAGATCTAGTCTCTTTATTTCCCCCTCAAAATGCACCAGATTGATGCATTTAACTCCAAAATAAAAAATAAAATCTTACCGGGGGGGCATGCCCCTGGACCCCCCTAGAGGATTTGAGGTCGACCCCCACTAAAAATCACATGGATAGGTTCCTAAATACATTAATAAATACATTTATTTTTTAAAATAGTAACCCATTTCCATATGTTCATGTGTGGGTAGTAGATTTAAGCTATAGGGCTATCATTATGGACCCTGCCTGTACCTGTACCTGTTCGCTCTGCCATCGCGTGAAGGGTCTGCTAACAAGCGACCAACAGAAAGGTTAATGTTGTTGCACGTCACCTCAACCCCCCCCGCTACCACCACCCCCCAAAGTATATTTCAGATCTGTGGGAAACACTGGCAGTTAATGGACCAGCACCAGAGGCATTCCCATACACACAGGCGTTGGAGCTGTTCTTCATGAAATCCCAGAAGGATGAAGTGCTCTGACAAACAGTGCCATCTTTGCGCAAAATGATTATACCGGAATGAAAAGTCAATAAATAATGTTGTTAAAACTTTTTTTTTTTTTTTTTCGCGCACCCCCCCCCCCTTGCCACCACCCGCCCAAGTATATTTTATATCTGTGGGAAACACTGGAGCCCTTTGAGGTTTTTTAATGTAGCATGTTTGTACCAACAGAGTACATTTATTTTCTTTTAAGTGCTGCTTTATGTCCTGGTGCTGATTAGGTAATTTACACACGGCATCTATTGCACGTCTGTCCGTCCTGGGAGAGGGATCCCTCCTCTGTTGCTCTCCCTGAGGTTTCTCCCATTTTTCCCTTTAAACTGTGGGTTTTCTTCGGAAGTGTTTCCTTGTACGATGTGAGGGTCTAAGGACAGAGGGTGTCGTATTGTCATACTGATATTCTGTACACACTATGAAGACCACTAAGACAAATGTAACATTTGTGATATTGGGCTATATACATAAACATTGATTGATTGATTGATTGATTGATTGAATGGGAGGAAACATTAGCATGAATATAAGCTGCGCAGGACTTCAAAATAAATGTTGTGGCACAGTTTTGATGGATATGATATTGTGCATGGTGGTATTCATGTATACAGTTATAAAACGGATTGGTCCAATAAGAAGGGTTTCTAATGTTCTCCTTCTCATTGTTGCAGGTTTGAACCACCCACTGAAGACAGACTGCGGCTGAGATTAAATCCTCACTGGTAAGTAAAATATAGCTAATTACAACACCCTCCCTGCTTTAGTATTATATCCATTATTCGGTTCTTGGTAACCCTGGTCTTGTGATGTTGTTTTTCTCTGCTCCCATGCTGTGTACACACTGATGCTACTAAGTGATGTTTTTTTATGTGTGAATCAGCGTCTCTTAAACACCCAAAAATCCTCCTGTTCTAGTTTCCGACCACAACTTTTGCTGATGGCATGTCTGGCCTTGTGAACTAGTGATAAGTGGCTTTGTTCAGTATAAGCCTGAGTGGATTCATATTTCTTTATGTCATCTAAATGTAATCAGACAGTCTCATTCAGATTAAGATCTCTTAGCCATGAAAGACTTGAGAAAAACAAACATTCAATATGAGTACCCAGCATGTATTGGACGTGGACTTTGTTTAAACACGACTGGAAAAATAGAAGCCACATGTCCCTGTGTAACCTGCTGCTCACCTGCTGACACCTGACACACTCATGTGCAAATACCGGACACACCACACACAAACAGAGACATCGCAGGTGCTTTTCAACACAAATTAGGTATTATACTTGTAATAAATTGGCAAATTTTTTCAGATTTATCATCAGTTTGTTAAAAAGGAACACCCGTTTTCCAAATATATATATTGCCTTTGTGAATGTTGTATAAGGAAAGAACAACAAAAATCTCATTTTGATGCGTTACAATGAAAAACTCCTCACATAACAGGCGAGTAGTACAAAGCACGCTGCATCTGCCTCATGCACAACCCATAAAACATATGCATCAGTAGGGAGCTATCGCAGTATTATATAACACACCACTACAATGTTTCCACCTCCCTTTACTATCAGTACCTGAATGGCCACGTGAGAGCACTCCAGTGTATTGCACTGATCCATCATTTAAACAGTGAGTCATTATCACAGCAGTTTGACTGAAAATATGTGATGGAAAAGTGGTTTGAGTTCAGTTATTGCAGGTTGTGTTGATGGATCTCCCTCTCTTCGCCCAGTCTTTGCCCTCCGTCCGCCCCCTCCTCCTCTATATGAGTAATCCTGATGAACAGATGGGCGGAGGAGAAAATAAAAGGGGCATGCCAGCTTGTTGCACTGCCATACCGTGTCAATCAGGCCCCTCTCACCTCGTCCCTATCCCATCATCCACTTCTGTCTCCTATCAACATTGCAGCCTGATCCACTTCAATCTAACACCCCCACCCCCTTTTATCATTACATCCTTATATTTGCTCCACTGCCCCTGATTACCAGACGATTGTTCAGTCTCACCATCTGTTTTACCTTCCACCAGATTGCTATTTACTTCACTTTCTTGCACCCAAGGCAACAACATTTGTATCCCAACAACAGGCCCTAGAACATTATCAGTCTGTACATGCTTTCGAAGGACGTGATGAAGCCACTACACATGTTTCTTTAGAGCTTCATCAGTCCTCATAAAATGGAAAAGATGTATAGGACGCTCTGCCATAAACAGTCGTCCTCTGAAGGACACATAAACAGTCATACTAATGTAGAGACACACACACTGTAACTCATGTCCACCCGGAGTCACGTACCAAGGCCACGTGCATCTATCTGCTCATCAATACCTTTTACCTAGCAATAGCACCCAGGAATACCAATGAGACTTGGCTGTTTTACAAGCCCGGCTGGATTTATGTGGCCACGGTCGTACTGACACACTGTGTTAGAATGAGACCTACTATTGATTTCATGTTCTTTCATCAACTTAATTTCCAATATTTCAGCTATAAGATTTGTATTATTTTATACGTCACTGCTGAATATCAATTACCTTTTTATACGCAGTTTTTTGATTGATTTCTTTGTTATTGCAGCCTAGGTTTTCTCTTCAACATACTGGGGTTTAGCAATCAAAACATGTCATTAATACACACTCACTCACAAGTGAATTTGCAGATGTGTTGTTGCCCTAATTTAGGATCAGGATTTACATTTATTTGAAAGGGAAGTAATGATTATACATGATTGAATAAAATATGTATGGAAATAAATGACCAATAGGGAGCAACAAAAGATCTTTGTTGTTTTGTGTCAGCATTTTAGAACAACTGAAACATATCTAAGGATTGGGTAAGGAATGTTAGGAAGGTGGTTTATTGCTCATGTTATCGTTATTCATTTACATATACAGTATTTGTATACAAAAACAACACAAAAACAACCTTAACCCTACACACATACACACACACACACACACACACACACACACACACACACACACAAAACCAAGCCCACACACACAGCCAGCATGACCCTCTGCTCCGGCTGAGCCCTCAGCTTTTGATGTGATGACCTTAGACAGGCGTGACATGCACTCACAAACACAGGCATGAACACACCTACACACACAGAGACACACACAGAGACACACACACACACGTGGGCACACACACACATTAGGGCACACACCCAACACCCAGCCAACCCCCCCGACAGATATCAAACACGTCCATACGCCCGGCAAAATGCCATTTCGCTGTGTGAAAAATGCAATGTGCTGTCGTCAAAATATCCCAGTGCTATGATTGGACGTCAGATGAAGTACATTTTAATGGCAGCAGTCAGTAATGGCTTCAGATAGGTTAGGCATGGTTCAGTCCAGTGCTTAGTTTTCGAACAATTATCACGTTTCAAAACCATTCCAGTCCCAGTGTACCGTCATTTGAATGATTTATTTCATCATCATACTTTAGAGTGAGCTTTTTAATCATTTTGACAGAGCAAAGGGTGGACACAGGTGTGAGATGATTTTTTTTAATACTGTTAAAAGCAAAGCTGTTAAAAGCAAATCTGTTAACATTCATACATGATAGATTGTTGGCTGCTATTACTTATTATTATGTGTATACTTTGGCGCCGGGTTGTCTGGCAGGCCGTCCAAGCATGTCTGTTTTAGTACTAGTGTTTGTTCTGTGTCTGTTTTGCTCAGTGACAAGGACCATAGACTCTCTGTTAGTATACAACCGACCCGAGCTGCTTAAGATCAAGGAAAATGTGGGCTTTTTTGCGAAGTTTGGCCAGGGTGGACACACCCCCCCTCCCCCCCTTCTATCGGATGTACCTGCACACCTACTGCGGGCCGGGCCCTCGTTACCCCGAAGACGCAGACGCCGAGGCACACGCAGTGGCCGGCTGGTTAGGGTGAAAGAGTGGCTAGCGTGGTCTCCTGAGCTGGCTCAGCACCCTTTTCCCCCGGAATATGGACCTTGTTTTCACCGCCTGGCCTCCCGACGTCCCCTTGCCATGGTCGGCACCTGGCTGGTACCTGTTGCTGACCCGACTCAAGATCTGCATATCCTGCGCCCCCAGTGGTCTCGCCTCTCCCCCCCTGATGGAGTGAACCACCGCAACCTTCGGTCGCTGGGTCGTGAAACTCACGCGACTGTTGCCCCGGTTCCAACTAAAGGCTTGCTGATAAATGCGAGATCGATCGCAAACAAAACTTTCATCATCCAGGACTTCTTCACGTCACATGCTGCTTTTTATCTATTCGTGTAATATTATATTTTATTATAATGTTATGTTCATTGTGAAGCACTTTGGCAAACCCTCTGTTTTTAAACTGTGCTATATAAATAAAGTGGATTGGATTGGATTGGATTTGTCTATCAAAAACACCTTACTTGACCTCATTTGATATTGTCGATCTTCCTTTTATTGGTGACCTTCTTTATATTATGACCTTGTTTTATATTGTTGTCATTATTTCATAGTGTTTTTAATATCAGGGAGGAGCATAGCACTAATGCTGTATTGTTTGCATTGCAATAAAACAACCATTAAGATGTCCTATATCGTATCTCCTTGGTATGTTCTTTAAGTTCTCTTTGAGATACCTATGCGCAGTCAAAAGTGTCCTTGAAAAAAGGCATAAGAACTATATTTTAATCAGGATAAATCAGGTAAGACTCAGACGACGCTGCCCCTTTCCCTTGAATTCATCTTGTTTTTTGGACACTGGATGGTAGAAGTATATTTCTAAACAGTATTGCATGAGTATCAAACGCGTATTATCCCACCATGTCTGAGTGCATTTTCCTTACTATCATTCCTATGTGCTCTGTGATACGGTAAAGAAGTATATCCTCTTGAAATATAGCAGCCTTTTTTGATCGCTAAAGGCATCACGATGTGCCCTAGAACACCCCTGCCGTTTCAGCGTTATCACAGTGGTAAACAACATGAAGGACAAAAGCCCCCGTGGGGTGGTTGTAGAGGTGCAGCTGGAGGGAGGGGGCGGTGGCATGCTGACCATCAGCACTTCACAAAGCCTCAGAGAATAGCAGGCGCTGCTGGGGGATTCTGCGGATGGTGCTAGAACAACTGATGCTTGAAAAGGGAAAGCCCTCTGTGTATCTATCTATGTGTGTGCGTGTGTGTTGATAGTTTGTTTTGATTTTGGTGGCTGTGTGTGATCCGGTTTGGGGGCTTATGGAGACAAAGAGGCTGTCGGTTCTGTCCTTTCACCCCAAGGAAGTGGTGTTAGTGTAATGAAGGCTCTTCTTACAATAACTTCCAATGTAGCTTCCTGAAATCAGCAGTCATATCATGACGCTCTCTTAAAGACATTACATTACATTACATTTAGCTGACGCTTTTATCCAAAGCGACTTACAAGTGCATTCGACCAGGAAGACACAACCTTGAAGAAAACAGAATCATATAAGTACATCAGGTTTCATAGAGCCAAACATTTCAAGTGCTACTCAACTGGCTTTAGATAAGCCAGTCCTTTATTAGTATATAAGTGCTTTGTTAATAATTCTATCGCTCAATAACCTATGCTGCTCGTTTTCAGGTTCATATTTCTGTTTGGTGTCTCTACTGTGACATGTCTCCATGCTTTAATGTTCAAAAAGCTCTTTATTTTTCTCATACTGCCTGTGCTGCAGCACCTCTTATCACCCTCTGTCTGAAACCAGAGCCCAGTCTGCTCTGATTGGTGAGCTGGCCAGCTCTGTTG